GTTAAAATTAATTTGCAGTGATTTCTATGAGGGCACAGGCGTCGTTAGGAAACCTCAAAGGGGCTACAAGTGGACAAGTTGCCAATAGTGGGCCTTTGTCCTTGGTCCGCCCCCTTCTAAATACCCATGACAGCAGCTTTGAAATGCCTGCCTGATGAGGCTCAGATGCTCTGGCTGTGGACATCACAGTGACCATACTTGTCTGGCTATGAAAAACAACTCATGACAAAGACAAACTCAGCACAGCAAACAATACAACAGAATAGATTCCAAAACTGCCAGTCAGAGTCCAGCCTGCATTACTCAGCGATGTATCATGATAATTCTTGTTGGCTCTGAAATAAATGAAGCTTAATTTGATTTCGCTTCATTTTCTCAAAGCTATTTCAACAGCGCAAGTCCCGAAGGAGGACATCAGTGAGAAGAGATAACCGTATCACTTCAGAGTGCTTGGCATCTACACAAAATGGTGTTCCCATGGGAAAATCACAGACACAACCGTTTAGCAGAGCTTTCCAGTGGTGTTCATAATGCCATTAATTGTGTTGAGGGAGACTTGGAGAAAGGGTTAGCCACAGAGAGCTCCGGAGGAAGCCACAACTTGTAAAGCACGTTTGTGTGAGCCTGCTGCAGTCTGGAGTCAGAGCTGCTGTATCCCTGACTCTCTGCTTCATATCTGCTGTCTTTTATGCTTTTTACTCTTTTATCTTTCTTTATTTAATCTTTCTGTCTGTGTATACGTCTCATCTCCCCTTCACACATCGACTGTCTCTTACTGTCTTGCCCCTAAACCATAAAGCAAGCAGGGAAAATTAATGACACAAACATTTCTGACGTCTGCAGGAGCGCGGGCCTCACTTTCACTCCATAAAAAAGATAAACCTATGCACTTAAAGGAGAGTCGGCCGATTCAAAGATGGAGGGAAAAAGTGAGTAAACGAGTAAAAGTGTGAGGAGGGCAGTGGTGGGTGGGTGGGTGGGCGTGGTGTGGTGGGAGAGTTCCTCTCATCAAATTAAACCTCCATCACCGTCAAAGACACACTCAGATTCCAGCCAGCCAATCAGCCAATCTAAGACAAATGATTTTGTTGAGCTTTCCTGCCACACTGGGCGTGGGAACAGCGCAGATTCTCATAAAAAAAAAAGGCAGCCTGTAAATTATTTCCCTCCTTCTTCAAAGACCTGAACAACAAAAAAGGTTTGTGTTTATGTGTGGTGTTCCTGTGTTGTTGTCTTTGAGCCTGTCAGTCTCGGTTGGCCTGCTACAGCGAGCATAAACAATATTCGGGATCTACAGCTGTCTGCTCACGTGCGACAGTCTGAGAGACAAAAATACAAAAGGATGCCATCTTTCATTCGCAAAGATAAATAAAACTGTTCAAGGGTCATTTAAACCAGGGGGGTATGCATTACGCTTTTTCTCGAGGCAGCGTTTTGATCAAAGCCGTTTAGAGGACCTCTTTCCTCTCTTTTTTCCCCCACGCGCCACCCTCCCACAGCCTCCCACACTCCAACCCCCAAACCATGTCTGCCTTGCTGCTGCTAATCATTGGTGGTCTCCTGACTGCCAACAGTAATTGATTAGGGAGAGGTGGACTGGCTGGTGAGGAGGGGGGTGGGGGGAATGGAGGGGAAAGTTCAGCCCAGAAGTTCTCAAGGTCACTGCCCTCTTCTTCCCCCTTACTCTGAACTCCTTTTCTCATGCTATTAGGTATCAGCCGCAAGGGAAACTGCAAATATTTGGCACACTTGGTACGACTTCCAAGAGGTTTGGTGGTGGCGAGAACAAACAGGAAGGTCTGTGTAAGCAAAATGGATGCATCTGCTGAGGAGGAACTCGGTGGTGAAAAGGTTGGATTCGTGATGTGTTGATTCAGGAACTAAACATCCTTGGTTTGAATATGCTTATTTTTGTAGACCCCCCTCGCTGCTGCGTGCTGCCGAGTTGTTTGGCCCCCCGTGGCTCCTCAACATTCTTGACAATATAAAGAGGTTAGTGGATGTTATTCTGAAATAGTAATTCCCTCCATTCCTTCTGATTTCACAGGACGAGGTGACATTCCTTGCCTCTGGAAAGTGACTCACGCTCCTGTCTTGTTTAGTAAATGCAATTACAGGCTGGTTGAAGCATTCTCCTCTTCTGTGATTCAGAGCAAAGAAAAAGCCTCTTTTTCTTTTCCTTTTTCTTTTTTTTTCTAGTCAGGGTGTGTGTGTGCCTGTGTGAGTTCTCCCTATGACCAAACAGGGTCATGTTCACCACAGAACCCACCGCTGACTATGGACGCAGAGTCTTGATGCCTATGGAAACACGACTGTCACAGGAAATGTTCAACATGTTTCACAGTGCTGCAGCTGAGCGAGAGGTGAGGGTGTTTTAGAGAGGAGCCCTCCCAGAGCTGAGGGCTGGTGTTGATGTTGGCCGTGCAGCCATCTCTGGGCTGTCCAGAGTTTACCACTCTCTGGTTGTGAGACCAGTAAAAACACTCTCGGAGCATGCTCAGATACTCACGGACCTATGTCTGGACATGTAGACTAACTCACAGGCTGCAGTGAGGTCCATTGATGTAAGTTTGTAAATGCATGGAAAAAGTCAAACAAATCCAAGAGGCTAAGTTAAAGACAAATAATTAGAATAGCGTAATATTTACATCATCACTCAGATAGTGGAGACTGGTGGGTTTCCATACTTGTCTCAGTCATCTCTCCTACAAATTGCCCCAGGCTACAGCAGCTGTGAGGCATTTATCTTTGTCTGCTCTGTCACTTACACTGTCTCTCAGCATTTATCATAAGGAACTCATTTTTCACAAATCTGCCAGTAAGGTTGCAGATTTTCAGCTAAATCAAACATAACCCTCATAAAGGAGACGGAACATTAATCCTACGTATATCTTTTCGTTTCCCTACTGCTTATGTATATTCAACCAACATGTAAAAGGGATTAAGACAAAACTTGATATTCTTGCAAATACCAGATCAAGATATCATGAAAGCCAGCCTCACTAGACTGCGAATGAAAAGCACTTGTGTGGTTTAACTTTATCCAGACTTGCGAATACCAGTGGAGGTCCTTCTAAGAAGTGGAGGTTTCTGTTTTATGTCCTGACAGTGGTGTGCATTTGCTCTCTACTGCCCCCCTTTGTTGGGCTTGAAGTACTGACAGGGATTGTCACAGACCCAATGTCCCCTGTTCAGTGCTGCACAAATTTTGATAAAGCACACTTGTTCTCAACACTTCTCAGTCAAACTATTTACAATAGTTCTAGATATTAGCTTTATTTTTTATTTTTTTTTGGTGAATGGTTAATCCTCAAGAAATGCTGGAGTGGCTTTAAAATGGATAGCAGGTTTCTTTTTCTAATCCATGTCCTCTTTACTTCTCCTCATGTCTTGTAGCTCTCAGCTTGCATCTTGGCCCTTCAGCTTTGCTGTCGTACTAAAATCTGAGCTAAACTCATAGTTTCTGCCAGCAATGCTGAGGTCAGGTTGTTCGTTTCACATCACCTATTCTCCCAGTGAAAACCATCCTGCGGCTCTCTGAGTGACATGGGTATAAAAGCACTTTTCACCCCACTACAAAGAGTCTTCAGCCTTTCACTAAGTCTGTCAATAGTCAGCTGACCTCCCACTGAAATCACCTCGAGGTGTTGTAATATGCGCCTAGCAACAAAGTCTCTCTGGAACTTTACTACCTGAAAAGCTCAGGGTGTTTAGAAAAATGCAGTGAATAGCTTTTGCTTATATCTGCCGCCAGTATGCAGAAATTATACCACTGCATGCCAACAAATTGTTTAGCCTAATTTGAGAATAGTTACTGTGTCTGAGGTTAGCTTTTATTTGGGAAAAAATAGTCAATGTAGTTAAAACCCCAATTAAGGCAACCTTTCTGGCAGATTGTAATTTAAACAGAGTTTGCCATATGAATGTGGGCAATATAATGCACTGGCACTTCATTTTATGAGCGATGAAAGATACGCAGCGTAGCTTTAAAACCTTAAGACATTAATCTGGATTTCATACACTGTAGGCAGGTAAACATCTTGCCTTTTGAAAAGTGGCTCGTAAATTTCCCAAAGGAGAAACGCAAGCTGATGGGGGTAGAAATGGAAGACACTGAGGCAAGAAATGGCATAGTTAAAGAAGCAAACAGTAGCAGCTCCCTGTCACTCCAAAGAGAGTAAGCAAGGTGAGAGGTGGATACTGGTGAGAACTTATCAGTCCTATCACTCCACTGTCACTTCATGGGCGTGAGAAAAAAGCACGGATATCATCTTTTCATACAAGCCTTCAATGTGGGTGGTGCGGTAAAAATGGTTTAAAGCTGATGCTGGATGATTTATCAAGTAGCAGAGAACAGGACTGGGCCTGTGGAATGAAGGAAATGTCATCTGATGCCATAGGGGTTGAATGAGCATCTGCCAGCCCATATTCTCACCTGATTCCAAACATGTTGTAAGTCCCCGACAGATGACCCCCCCCAGAGAAATTAAACACTGACTTGTATTAATACAGCAGAATGTCCTGGCACATGCACAGTCATGCATGGACACATGCGTTAAACTGAATTTATACTCGGTGTGTGTATATATATATATAAGCACGGCTGCTTTTATTTTTGGCGCTTTACTCTCGTTATTATCTATATATTTTGCAGGGTACTGCTGTTTATTAGTCCTTTGAAACCAGAGTGCATCTGCGATGATGCTACTTATCATATCAAAGCATGCTAATTAAGGCCAGCATTCATTTCAAGTGTTCACCTGACCTGAAGAGCATAAATTGGTGTGTTTTTTTTCACTCCCCTCCTAAGCAACGCATGCTAGAGCTTCGTGTTTGTGTTGTGTGCAGATGCTGTGGCTTGCACAATCACAGGGCGATATTTCATCCCAGAGGACTGGATGGTTGTTTATCATCCTCTCAGTCTGCAGATGTTTACCTGATCAAACAAAATAATGGTGTGTTTAGCAGTATAGTCTGTGTGCAGTTGGACAGCCAGTGCTATGGAAAGTGCAAATGGGGAGACACAGCGTTCTTGTAGGCGCCAGTGGAGGAAGAGCGCTCAGCGTTTTTCACGCAGGCTATTCTGCTGCTCGTGTTTGTGCGGTGAGAAGGATCCTCTGCAGGAGCAGGAAAAGGAGATTAATGGGGGCCCTCTGCATCCACACTTGGATCAACTGGGATCAGGTGAGAAGGAGGCTATCCAGATTACAGTGGAAGATCTGGGGATAGTTAACACTGGCTTCAGCCTGTTTGATGAGGACCCCTTGATCCCGAGGAACAGCGTGGCTCGCTCAGCCAGCTCTGTGTCGGCCTGCCCAAGGGCTCTGAAAAAGAAACGATTGAAGCCTCTGTCTTCACTCCCAATACAGCCCCGGGCAGAACCAGCAATCACTCCTAGCAATGGAGAGGATGATGAACAAGAGGAGGAAGACCTGTTGCTCTATGAGAGCGGCACTGATAGCACGCCTGCATCTGGAAGCCTCCTGACGCCACCTGTCATCAATCTGATCCCACCCACTCCCTCTGATGTTGTGGATGATTATCAATTCTTTGAAATAAACTCAGAGGAAAGTGTGGCGCACACATCTGGCAGCGACGGAAGCTTGGCTGCTGATGACCAGGAGAGTTTTGACGAAAAAATGGAGAGTGTGAAGGCAGAGGAGTCGAAGGAGGGATGCATACTGGATGAGAGGAAAGACAATGCTGAGAGTGAAGCTGAACCGGAAGAAGGCCAAAGTGATGAACTTGGAGAGCAAGGTCAGGCCATGCTAGTTAAAAAGGGGGATACAGAGAAAACACAGTCTGGGCTCTCCTGTAGCAGCTACCAGGTGGCTTGTCTCCCTGAGTACCCTCAGAAAAGTGAGTCTAACAGTTTTGAAATGCACACTTTTAGTGAATGCAGTTTGCTTTCTTTTACCCGGAAATAGCTCGATAAGGAGATTAACATCAGACTAGTTAACCTTGATAAGCAAAAACACTGGAAGCTGCTGGGCTAGCTTTGACATACGTACCGTCAAATGTGTGTTTCAACTATTTTTTAACATCTTTTAACTAATTTTTGACTATTTTAAAAGATGCAACAGCACAAATGGAGCACACAATTGTCCGATCCCAATACAACTTGAGGTATAAAATAAACATAAACCCCAAACTGTTGCAGTGCTTCTTATTCTGTTTTATTTCAATGAGTTATTGTCACTTTTTCATACAAATTGTTGTTTTTGTTTCTTTCTCTGTCACAGAGAGCTTCAACACTGGAATAAATCTTTTATCATTTACTGAGCACAACCTGGGTGAGTTTTGTTGAGGTACACTTACAACATACATGGATTGAAACCTTTCTGTTTGCCTTTAGGAAAACTGTGGGTGAAAGTAAATGGCACCAGATGACGACTGGCTTCATCCAGCTGTTGAGCTCATGTGTTACCTCTTCGTTTTGATCTCAGTTCCCCATTCAGATGAAATTGCACTCATTATGTGACATGGCTACAGTACCTCGAGCGCCTCCTTTGGGAGTTGCAGAAGTTCCCCTTTGTTGGAATCCCTTTTTAGCCATTGTGTGTGTATTCCCCATGTGTGGCTGGTCAGGCAGTTCCCAGGTTTTGGGTTCCTGTGACTCAGCATGCTCTCCTCCCTCAGTCGTCTCTCAAAGAGCTTACTTTCTTTTCAAACCAGAGCAGGACAATAATACTGGAAACGATAAGCATCGCTTTTGCCTATCCATTACATAAATGTGCTGAAAAGTTCTGACCCTACAGCTTTGCTTTGTCATTAACCTTGTGTGCGTCTGTGTGTGGCTAGTTGTCAAATGCTGTCACGCACCAAACCTAGAATGCTCAGCACGTCTGCATGCAAAGATGTAATGTGTTTGTCTGTGCTAAACAGTGAAGGGTGAGAGAATCCACTAATGTTTTGACGTGTCCTGACTGAGCCAGCTCAGAGTGATGGTCATCTCTCCATTACTGGTGATTTCACCCTTTAAGGCAACATCAGGCCAGGTCCCTCAGCCTGCCCAAAACGTCTTGTCGTTTGTTTTGATTGGGTTTTTTTTTTCAGGGCTGTGGTAGGGGAGGTGCAGTGCTACCCTCCATTACCATTCTCAGACAGTTCTCCATCTTGTGGCCCTTCTCCCATGCATGGTGAAAAGGAGTCATGGACTGGAAGTGATTTTCTCACGATTTCAAAGACATACTGTTATGTCTGAGGTCAGCTAGAGAAGAGGCTGCTCCTACGTGTCTTCACATTATGCCAAGACTCATCGCTTTTCTCAGTTGGCTGTTCTAGTCAAGACAGTTGTGTTTTGCATGGAGAGTGTTCTGAATTTGTTTAGCTGCAGGCCAGACTTATGATCCTCCACTGAGTGACTCACAGACCAACCAGGTGATGAAGAGAGTGCCAGCTTGCTGCCCCCCTCCTTGCACTCCACTGTCTCTCCAGGACCCAGACAGGATTCCACTGCTGACACACATAAACCAATTACACTGTCTTATCTGATTCTGCCTCCATCTAAAACCCCCATCCATGTCAAACCAGCCTTTCAGAAACTGGCCCCTGAAATGAAAAACATGCGTTTAAGAAATTAGCCTAAATTTTTGTTGGGTAAACTATTTGAAAAGACTACTGTTTGTCAAATGGCAAAGGGAATCCTGATGCTTCAGTCTCCAGAGTTAAAGTATCCGCACTCACATCCCTGCCTTGTGTTGCCTGGAAAAGCCAGGGCCTAGCGTGGATGTCATATTCTCAGCCTCATTCGTCTTGCTTGTTATGATAGCAGAAAATAAAGATATCTGCTCGCTGACCGAGTGACATTTGGAAAATGTAAGAATATGTGCTTTCTGTGGGAAAGAACTTGGGCTGTCAAAGAGGCATGTCATCAACCAGACAGACTTTGCTGTGCCTGAGTGGTTGCCCAGCAACTCCATCTAGCTGCATCCAGTATCAGCACCAGCTAATGCACTGCAAACAGACCTGGTGACCTGCACACCAGAAAAAGTCTGAGAAGGTCTAAAACCACAAGAACAGACTGGCTTAGAAGGGTCAAAACAAAGGCTTGATTAAAAAGTTTGCCTTCCATACTAACTAACACACGTCTAACTCGGATGAATGCTGAAGCACTTATTGATCTGCTTTATCTATTACTATGCAGATGACCCAAGCAACAGGGATTTGAGCTGCTCCGACATGCTGAAGGCTGAGCTTTGCCTGCTTCCTCACGCTGCCACGATGGACACCTCATCGCACCAAAGGGTACGCATGGGGGTCACCAGGAGCTTTTCTCATGATCTCGTCATACTGTATGACCTGCACATCACATGCTCTATCCATGACCCACACACATGCACCTTTAATGTGTTTAAAGGAAATCCACAGAGAGTCAACGTGCATTCCTTTAAGAAATGCACTTTATCTGATTTAGACTTTGTATTACGACTCTTGAAGCCAAGAATACTCATTCACTGTAAATGGATTAGACAGGGCTGCTTCTTCAGTCTGACGTTAGCTGAAATCTGTATTACGTGACAGCGGCCAATAACTCGCTCGTGCAGTCTTGGGGACTCACTGACTAGGAGCGCCACTTTCCACGCTTTAACACAGACCACAGACCAATCCCAGGAAGAGAAGGGGCGGCCTCGACAGCGACGCATAACTGTCGGTGAGTGTGGTCGTATATTATTGGACGAGCAGGAGTGTTGTACATAACACCGCTGTTCTAGCTAATGTATAATTCAACCTTACAAGTATCTGCTTTTCTTTATACTTTTTTTTTATTGCAGCATCATATATGCCTCATTCGAAGGATCAGAATGGAAACTTCCCCAAGAAGGTATTGTAAATCATCAAAGCGGGGCCTTCAGGGTGGCATCAGCACACAGCCCAGAGCTGCCGCAATTATAGAATATGCTCTGTTTATATTTCCCAGCTCCCTTGATCTGTCAAAGCAATGACTCTGCAAATAGTCTCAGGATTTTAGTCTTTGTGTCCAGGATTTGCTAAACAAGATTGCTCGTATCCTTAGTGATCCATGTGTTAGCTGAAACAAAACAAAAAAAAAACACGCAAATTGCCCCCAGGTCCAACACGTATGATCTGCATGCAATATCAACCGTTTTATTTTCCTCTCCATCAATTACATATGAGTCATTTAGGTAGTAATGCAACGTGTATTTTAAGCAGACACACCTCACACTGGAGTCCCACAAAACAGCTGAAACGAAGGATTACATATGTGGTTTTGGTGTATTATGATCTAAGATGTTTTTCTTCTAAAGGTCCCTACAACAACGTCTTACAACATAATGGCAAAATCCCTAAGACAAGGCAGACCTCTAAAATCAGTTCACCTAATCACTTTACAATCACCTTGTAAAGCTTCTACTGGTAGAAGGGAACATTGTAGTTTTCTTCCCAGGAACACCATAAACACAGAATCTGTGACTAAGGCAACAATTACAAAGAAACCTGTGTTTAGGTTCTGTGCTAAAGTAAACATGTCTTTGTCTTTTATAAACATTTGTTTACAGTTAAACATACAAATATGTTGATTTGCCGTAATATGTCCAAACATGTATATCCAACGGAGTCATACTTACTTCCAATAAGCCGGTGACACAGACAATGACAAGTCAGGAATTTAACCATGTTTTGTCTTGACTAAGCTGGTTTTTGCATGCAGGAGTTTGAGTCAGAGTCATCTTTGTGCGTCATGTCCCGCTTTCTTTGCAGTTCCCAACCTTTGCTGACGTTTTCGATTTAGAAAAATTAAAAAAATAAACATTTGCGGTGGTTATGCAACAAAACCAAAATGATCCAAAGTTACATTGTTTTATAACAATGTTATTATTTTTAAGTTGAAGGGTTGGGTTTTGATTTATGTATAGTTAATAGCAAACATGTAGCGGTCCAACGTGAAACCCCAGTGCAACAAAAGTGGTACTTTCATGTACAAGATAATTTTAAAAAAAAACCTTGTAAACAGCATATTTCTTAGATTGGCCAACTGGGTTGTGTCTATTGCAACATGGGTCCACATGTTAAGGACCCGAATGAAACAAAAAAACAGACTGGGAGACTTTATAAGCACGAAAGCATCAGTAGGCTACTAAACAGAAGCTGAAACACAGATGCAGTAGTAGCTGGGAGGTATAAGTAGAGCCATAATACCAATAACAAAAGCAGCCGTCCTTGAAAAATTATACCAGATATTTACATAACCTCACAACATGTAAATAAGCTTGACAAATACTGGCAGAACTTTGTTTGGTAAGATCAAACCAAATGGATGAGATGTTTGGTGTGGACCTGGCCAGGACCACCGCAGCAGCTGCCAAGTGTCTGCTGTAAAACATGCTGGTGGACGTCTGCTGATATAGAGCTGCATTATGCAAAATGTGTACAGAGGATGACAAAACGACTGAATAATCTCAAGAGATAGTCTCAAGAGGCTGAAACAGAAATAAATAAAAAATGCTGCAATAATCACATTACATATAATATATATATATATATATAATTTTTTTTGTTTGTTTGTTTTTGTTTTTTGTTTGTTTTTTTAAAGAAAGATGCGATAAGTTTGACCTATGGCACTTAACTTGGATCCAACACAATAACTCTGGAGGATTTTAAAGTGTAAGCTCGGGCAACAAAACCCCTCCAGCAATGAGCAGCTAAAAAGAATTGTGTGAAAAAATAGTGGAAGGCCTCTCCTGAGATTTGTGCAACATGGGCACATTCCAAGCCCGGAAGGATCTAATCTGGCTACAGAGATTAAGCTGAGTTTTCAATTTATTGAAAAATTAAAGAAATTTCACTAAGCAAGTTTATACTGACTCTTGTTGCATTGAGGTTGTACTTTTGGGCTTTCAAATTTATTTTAATCCTATCAAACCTGTTTGTTTTTGACTATGCAGATAATAAAAGGGCCAACACTCCATTAAAAATAATATAAATATCGTGAGGTGATACAACTTTGAATCAATTACGGTTTAAGCAAAACTGCATAGTGGTGGACTCAGCTTTGTGGCGTATTGTAGATGCTATATGTAACTGAATCCCATAACTTAGAACAATGTTTTAAAGAGTGCTTGTGTCTATCACATATAGATATAGGACATTATACACAGTGTTTGCAGTGTGATGTTTAGTAGCTTTTGACATGGCGCTCCGTGTTCATGTAGAACGTTGACACAAGCAGCAGGTATGTGGCCTTTCCCTTCTCCTCAGGACGTAGAAGGGCAAGTGGCCAAATCTCTCAAAGAGTTGAACACAGATGAAATCTGCCAGTGGTTTACCAGTATTGGACTGCAAAAATGTCTCCCTTTCATCAAAGGTAAAAACGTATTTTCATGTTCTTCTTCTGTCTCCTCTCCCAGCCCTATGGCTCCAAAACCAGGGCATGCTTTGCCAATTCAATTTATCTTTACTGCAGATCAAATAAAACTGATTTTTAATGAATGTCAATAAGTTAAGATGAAAAGAAGACAAGGATAACTGCAGATCAAACTTGACACTGTAACGGCATTAATCATACTAAAGCCGCAACATGTCAGAGCTTCAAAAAAAGAAAAAGAAAGAAAGAAAGAAAGAAAAAAGCTTATCCCTATGATTTTGGTTTGGTCTTTGCTTTGGTTTGAAATATTAGATATTCGTGTTATGACCTGGTCTTTTTAAATCAGTTATATTAAATCTTTTGCTCATTGTTCATCATTTTATTTTTGACATTTTCCAGTTTGAAAGTAAAACTTTTAAATGACTCATTAGCTTTCAGATAAAACTGCCCTCTTTGTGGCTGTCTCGTCTTGTTCAAATGTTTGATATGAATTACAGATTGTTGGTGGCAGTGTTTCTGTGAAATTTAGTGATGCAAGTAGGAATGAATACTTGTCTTTCAGAAGCGAAACTTTGTGGAGCAGACATAGCCTCAGTAGATGTGAACACTCTGGACATCCTCCATATCAGCACACCAGAAGACAGGGAGCAGCTGCTGTCAGCCATCTACAACGAGCTTCACCCACCGAGCACCACCACTCAGAGAATTGACTCTTTGCTTGGTACACCTTTACCACTATAACATGACAATATTAATCCTCTAAACCCCGAGTAGTTTCTGGGAGGTTTAGCTCCTATCACATTTTTAATGACTGTGGGTTCATTTTATCACTACACCTCTATGGAAACAGCATAACCATGGCTAGAAGAAGAGTAAACTCAGAAGAGTCTTCAGTCCAGTACGACAAAGTTAAAACACCACAAATGATTAAAAAAATATATAATTTTTTGATTATTTATTCAACAAAACAAAACAAAACAAAAAAAAACAACTAAAATCAACTTGTACACCAATTTTGCATGTACAGGAGTAACTGACGATATGTATTTTTTTTGCTGATTTTTTTCTTCTGTCTGCACTGTATAAACACAGCCTGTCGTTCAGCCAAGTCAACTAAAAAGTCTGAATTTTTGTCACATTGCCGGAATGTCATTTTTAATTTTTTAATTTTATTTTTTTTTACAGTATCTAGATAATACAGACCATTTAATTTTAGTGAATTTTCAAACGAGACATGCAGAATGAAGGAATTTTGATGAAATACCATGATTTTAAGCTCTGATTTGGTTAATTTTCCAGATGGAATGGCACATCACAGATGAGTAGTTGAAAGACTTTTGGAGTGTTTCTTTCTGTCTTTACAGTTTCTGATTATTATAAATGGTGTAATTTTGGTGATTTTCAAAAGATAACATGTCTTTTAAACCTGCCAGCAGGTTTTGGGGTTCAAAGGGCAAAACTAAATAATTTGTAAATTAACAATGTAAATGAGATGTTTAGTGATATTTCCTTTTTGTTACAGAATCCTTAGGGCCTAATAATGTGGAGACATTCACTGCAACACTGGTGTCAATGACCAAGTCCAAGTCCTCGCCTCATGTGAGCTGCCTGAGTATGAATCGGCGTTCCCTCAGGTAAAGCTGTTTATACACAGTAAACCCCCAAAACAAAGAAAAAAAAACAAAAAAACAAGTGTTCTTTTAATCTCTTGGTCTTTTTTCTGTACAGAAACAACAGCCAAAGCCACATGGCACAGAGGAATTCTCAGCTGATAGAGATTACTATTAATGGTGAGTAACTGAAAAGGTACTGTACACAAAGTAAATGTGTATGAATGTCACATATTCAGTTCATTATCCCACATAGCATGCTAGTTTGTAGGGTCAAAGAATAAACCAGGTGCCTACTGTGCATGACCTGTGACTGTTGTGTATATGTTGTGTTGCAGCATCAGAGCGTATAGTCCATCTCAGAACGCCAAAGGAAACAACAGTTGGAAAAATCATGGAATCGTGTGTTAAAATGCTGGGAGTGACAGAAGATAAGAGCGTGTTCACCATGAAAGAAAAGCAAGGTGCCCAGTACATTGAGTACACCCCATCATGTAGTATTCATAAAAACACAGACATACTGTATACATACAAACTGTACACATGCTGTGATTTTAAGGCTCACCTGAGGAGCTCTCACCAGATCGACTGATTGGGACTTTACTGACGTCATCCTCAGAGAACAGACAGCTGGAGCTGTACTTGTGTAAAACGGTACATTTCTTAGATATACTAATTATAGATGGTCATACTGCATGCCAGATACCGACTCAGACAACAAAGAAGCTTACTGTGTGATTTTGCATCATAGGACAAACCACCAAGTTCTGCCTCCCAAAATAGTCCAGAAGTCAACAGTTCCAGTGAAAACAGCAACATCAACAAAAATGTCCAGAGGAACCAGCCAGATAAAGAAGAAAGGATCAGGGAACTAAACCAACAGGTGGACTCGCTACAAAACGTCATCCTTCAGGTTCATATCTTTGTTCAATGACACACGATAGTACTAGAACTAAAAGCACTTTACTCATTTGATGCCATTGATTTCTTTGACCTGAAAAGGTCCAGGAGCTCCATCATGGCCTGGTTGCGTTTTGCTCCGAGTTAAAGAACATGGACGGAGACGTGAAGGTGGACAGGCTCGGGTCTGCTGAGCTGAAGCAGAAGCTGGAGTTGGTTCACAGCCAACTGAACGACAAAAGGCAGAACCTGCAGGCCCTCAGAGACAACATTAACAACTTCACTGCTCACAAGAAGAAGTAGGTGCACTGTCTCTGTTAATTAGTCGCCTGTTCAACAATGCATACATGCAAACTTTTTTCCACCTTCCAAAAGCACTCAAATTAGAGATTCCACTCCTTTATGTGCTGTCACTGTGCACTTAAAAAGCAATGAGTGAAGATGGTAAAGAACTGCTATTCAATGGAAAATAAACCACCTGCTATGCTTATTCAACTCTGGTGAAGTTTATATAAAATCTCAGCTACAGCTGAGGTAACTACAAACTTCCTAAACCATGTTTGCATCTATATCTGTATGTTCAAGGTTGGGCCCAATTGCTTTGAAATGTAATCAGCTATTTAATATGTAATGCAATGTAATCTATCGAATAGAAAAAAATGCAACCTAATACTTTAGGATTACTTCAAAACTTCAAACACTGAAACACTGACCCATTATAGTAAAAAATGGATGCAGTCACAAAATTTTGGTTCCACAAATATTTTTTTTTCTTCTTAAACAGATAAATAGGAATGCTAATTATAAAAGTGCCATATTTTAAAGATGTGATCGAAATGTAATCAAGTAATTCTTGGCCATGTAACAAGGATTTAATTACACTTTTTTTTTTCAAATGTCCATCCATTCATTATCTATACACCGCTTAATCCTCACTGGGGTCGTGGGGGCCTGGAGCCTATCCCAGCTGACTTAGGGTGAAGGCAGGGGACACCCTGGACAGGTCACCAGTCTATCACAGGGCTACGCTTAGAGACAGACAACCAAACACACTCACATTCACACCTACGGACAATTTAGAACCCCCAATTAACCTCAACATGTTTTTGGATCTTGTGAGAAGAAGCCGGAGAACCCGGAGAGAACCCACACTGCACGGGGAGAACATGCAAACTCCACGCAGAAAGATCATTAAAATTAAAACATTAAAAAAACAACAACAACAACAACATGTGATTACATAATCCCAGTTACATGTCGTCCATTACTACCCAACTCTGTATGTCTTTTTCTGAACTGTGGTGTGTTGTCATCCAGACAACTGGAGATTCGCCTCCTGGAAAAGATGAAGCTGAACTGCCAAGTGTTCAAGGAGGAAATTTCCATCGTACATCTCAACCGACAGGCGGCTCACCTCCAAAACGCTTTGCAAGAAAGCTACATTAAGGTAGTATCGATCATATTAACACCGCTGACTGATTTTAACAATACTGCAGCAGTTAACTAGCGCGTTTAAGGTCTGGAGCTCAGTCAGTGGAGTTTTATTAACAGCATGTGAAACACAGTTACGCCAATATGTGGGAAAAGCTGTATGGTCTGAGTCAGAGAATGTTTTGACTGCTAAAAATAAACAATGACATGCAGATATTTGCACCAAAACAAACCTAGATATGGGGAGAGGCATGTGCGGTATGGGCTAATAAAATCCTACTTATACTGAAGAAAGAACAGAGTCAAATTTGGTGATTTTTGGGGGGCAAATAGTGCCAAAGCAAATGCTGTTCTCATCTGTCTTTAACCATATCAAAACAAGTCATGTAACTGGCCTTTTCCTTGCTAATGAAAGCCATATTGTGATAATCACAGACCTAGAGGATAAATTAATCTGTAGAACATGTGTTTGAACATAGATTTGTTCAGTTAAGTGTCCAATTGAATTAACGCACACTAAGAAAAGGGGGTCACAGCTTCTGGAGGTGGCAGGACCGTGCATGACGCTATTATGATCTATTAGCTTTGATCCTCTGATTGACAGCACAATGCTTCATTCAGTCTACTCTGTTTCGCTAAGCTGTGCATTTATCCCCGTTGTGAGAGACCCAAAGTCTATTGGATGAACACACACTTTTTTTTTCTGAGAAATGATGTTTAGTGCTGACATTCGAGAGCCTGTGACCATACCAACAATGGAATGTGTGTGACAAAAGCCACTGGGAGAGTGCAATGGAGAATTGGGCCAGCATGTGTAAAACTATCTGCATCTATCCCCAGAGGAACCAACTTCTTTTTTAATGTGGCTCTTTTATCCCGTTGGAGAAGCCCTAACGAGGTGCCATGAAAGGACACACGCGGCTTCAGCTTTGAAAGGTGCCCCGTGTCACGTTGCCACCCCGGGGCCACGCTTTTTTAGGTGCTGAGTTTGTGGGAAAAGCAGCAGCACTAATGTTTATCATATGACCTAATCAGAGTTAACACACAGGTCAGAGCTGAGGAGCAGCCTGGGAACTGATAGAGCTGCTGTTCAAATAAGGAACAGACTGCCTTGTGTTTGGTCTTGTAGGCTGCCCCGCATTACAGACAATAAGGAAATATTTCATCATCGGCAGTCTAATCTCCAGGATCTATTGCAACTGGAGAGCATCAATAAAGCAGCCGAGAGGGGAGGCGAAAGAGAAACAGAGGCACACAGAGAGAGAAGGGAGGAGGGGAAGGACAACAAATGGCGGAAATGACTTTAACTAAGCAGTTTAGCTTGGACAACTCAAAAACTTCAGACGGACTATTAAAGAGGGGAAATTGGGAGCGTTATTGACTCTTTAGTCTCATGTGTTCTCTGAAGATGGATTGGGTTTTGAGAAAAAAAAATAAAATCTGCCACCTCTTTGTCATGACATGTTCCTGAGTTTAGGAAACGGATAGGGTGTCTCTCAGTTTTTATAGAGAAACACTCATGAATCCAGTTGCGGTTGATCAGTGTGGTCAGATTGTTTCCCGTTTCTCTATCCTCCGTTTTCCTCCCCAAAAGATCTCTGGTGTTAAAGATGTTTGCTGTTGGAACAGCCGCAGCGTCCACATTCAGTATGACAGCACTGAATGTAGATCTGCTAACACCCATCATTACAAATGAAACACAGTCCCTTCTGCTTAGCATTGATGTTGTGTGGCTTGTCAGAGAATCATTTCTCAGACAGGGTGAAACAGAGTTCTTTCATAGATCACACTGCAGGAGGGGAAATTCACAACTATTTTCAGGATTAAGAAGAAAACTGAGTATTTCACGCTCAGGTGACCTTTGTGGTCTTGAGAAGCAGCATCCATTCATTGTATCTGGTGTGTACACTGGGTATGTGCCCCGTGTCTGGCCCAGGTAGGCTAGGATTTGATCAGATCTTGTGGATAAACAAGAAGAATATGAAGAGAGAATTCCTTGGGTTCTTGGCGTGTGTCCAACATTGAGCAAGCTAAAAGGGAAGACGATGCGTATTAGAGTCTGCTCCTCAAGGGGCTCCGGCTGCGTTTCCGTGGATATATCCTGTCTGGCCCACTTGTCTGGAGAAAGAGAAGCCTTAGCTTTGACCTCTGACCCTGGCAAGGCGGCATCTATTGCTTCAAGGCATTCACACGCCATGCAGGGGGAGAGGGGAGTATGCCAAGAGGCTGGATAAGGGAACATTGGAATTCAGTGGTTGGACTCACAAGTTATTTCTGATCCCTGCAAGCTACTTGTGGTGTGATCTCTTCCAAAGCTAATCATTACATCTTGGTGGTCTCCTGGCTTTGACGCAGCCTCAGTCTTTATCTCGTGGGCACTTCCATGTAGTGGTATTTGTAATCTTTAAGACTCTGTTCTGAGAAACAAAGATAATAAAGTTACGATTTTATCTTAAGTGAATGATAACTGAGTTAGTTTCAGGTTTCAGCGGCACAGTTTGGAAACCAATGCAGGTCCAACAGACAACTTGCACAAATGAGGAGGAAACTTGAAACCTGCATAAACATATACACTGAGAATGGTCTTTCAGTGATGTTAAAACATTTCTGGATTTTTCAGTGAAGGAGGCGTAGATGGCATTTTAAGAATTTCCAACCAGGTAATTTTTATGAAAGCACCAAATTAGACACACTATTATTAAGAGCAGAGTATTGATAGGTATCTTCAAGCATGCCTGGAGGGGGCTCTATAAAGATTCTTTCACTTAAGAGCAAAACCTCTCCTTATCTATCTTAAACATTTACCTTGGAGGAATAGCTCAGCTTCCATTAGGTGTGAGAAGATACTAATACCAGTCTCATGTCTGTCCTTGGTATTAAAACTTACATGAATCCACTAAAAATGCATTCAAATCTGAATGTGTGCATGTCTTCTTGTCGTTTGTGCATTCAGGAAAAAGCTCAAAAAAAGACTTTGGCCATTGGTAGCCTGAGCCAGCTGGTGTCACCACAGTCTCCAGCCATGCTGCTGGTTGTACAGGAGAACCAAAGCCCTGATGGCCATTATGGATTCATGTGTCGCTACAGGGAAGAAGGCGGGCTAGTGGTAGTCAAGGTGGACAACTCTAACCTCCATGTGGATGACAGGTAACACAAGAACACAAAAACACAAACAAAAGCAATTAATCCGGGATTAATGACAAATATTTGCTTGGTGTTCACAGACGCTTCGCATGCTTGGTGAAAGTGGTATTTAGTATCTTACTCATCCACTTCTTTCATCGGTCTATTTTTCTGTGTTTGGTAGCTATGGAGACCTAATAGATATTAGCCCCAAAACAAGCAACGCTGTAATGCAATACTTGGATACAGAAGAGAGTGAAAAGGAGCAGATATAAGAGCATCATATAATTAAGCAATTATGGCATTACAGCAAGTACATACATACCAAGGAACACAGGACTCTCAAGCTCATGAGGAGTCACGCTCACGCACACAAGCACATGTACGCACTCATATAAAAATAGTGCCGTTGACACCCTCTTAGAAACAATCCTGCCAAGGAAAAAGTCTGCATGACAGTACAGAGACCGAACCACAGAAGCTGAAAAGAGTCTTTCAGGCTCGCTGTGTGTGTTCACTTATCGTGGCATCTGTGCCAGTGCTCTTTGCACAGCTAATGAAAAAATACAAAGGGTTTCTGCCTCACTGTCAGCTTTATCTGGGTGTCTATAAATAAAAACTAACGAAGGGACTTTTCCTTTTTTAATGAGCTCTGTGTAAAGGTGATGTTTTCGATATTTCATGCTGTGTGATTTGTGAGTTCTTTGATCGTATTTGTTGCTTGTTAAATAAGCGTAACTGGGGTTCCGCCTTTTACCTGCAGTGAATATGTTGCCATATAAACATTTCATATTTTGAAAGAGTGAAAATTTCCCCATCAGGTTAAAATACCACACGTGCAACATTTGAATTTTCTTGTTCTGTTTCCATAATTTGAAAGATAATAATGTTGGACTGTCACCTGCAAAGATCTATGTTGCATCAGGAGTTAAAAAGTTGCTGTTTCCATATGATCTCTTTGTCATAATATATCTGATGCACCTATGATTTTGCACGTGTGTGTAATCTGCCTCACAGATTGGTGGAGGTGAACGGCGTACCGGTAGTCAACTCCACGCAGGAAGAGCTGACTGACCTCCTGCAGCAGGGAGCCAGCGCTCAAATTGTAGTCCTTCGCCAGCCTCCGCCCGGCCTCGCCTCCCCTCTGTCCCTGCAGCACATGGTCAGCCCTGATCCCGTGCAAACAATCTGCCCAGAGAGAAATGTAGTCGCCATGGAAACCCCTCCACAACGTAAGGTGATGGCCATCTGATGATTATGAAGAAGAGAGAAAAGACAGAGAAAAATGAGTCTGTTATCTTTTTTTATCTCCCTATGTGAACATTTTTATTGTACTGGTGAAATGTTGGTCATAGACTGTTGACAATTGCCTTGTAGTTGTTAAATCAAAAATAGCAAGAATGGCTATGTTTTTCATCATATGTACATAACTTTATTCTTTGTAGTCAATTATGTATACCCCATATTGTTTTAATGTATGTGCAGAGCAATGCCTTCAAAAAAACAAATAACACAAGCAAAGACTCCAGCGACTTAGTTTTTTTCTATTCAGAGCTCTCCTTGTGTTATATTATTTTTTGCCATGGGGAAAAATTGAAAGTACAAAGAAGAAAAACAGAGTCTCACATAGCTTCGCTCAACTGGATATGTGATAAGCATTTCTTTTTTTAACATCCTGCAGAGTAATTCCTGAGGTATAACAATGCAAGACTGATGAGCACTCTGCATGCCTCATCTTTTTTTTTTTTAAGTCGAGACAGAAGTGGATATAATCTGAAAATATGTGACATAATTTAAAAACAAGCTTTGCGTCCTGTCTGCGAGTTTTCTCTGCAGATCAGACACTAAGATGGTCTGGAACAGTGTTCAGAGCAGAACATTTCTTAAAAAAAATGAGTCATGTCTCCCCTTTGTAAGTTGTAATGTAATCCACTGTGCTGTAGGAATAAACCCTTGGGCCCGGAAATGCCTCATTTCTCAGCCTTGTTCTCCCTCGTTAAGTGGCAGTGGATCATGCGAGTCTGACAGAAAAAGACAGCACAAACACTACCAAACTCTGACCCAGACCCCTGAGGTCCAAAGAGCCTGAGAGGAAAAGTGATGAGACCAGTTTCGCTTGTCACTTGATGAGAAAGGTCACAGGTCATTCACCGATACACCAATAGTTTATGCCTTAATGGTTTTACAATCAAAGCCAAATGAGCTCCATATAATCCCGATGATGAGAGAGATGGCATTTTCTGGTTGCCAAACCACCTCACAGGGAGGGGAGGAGTATGATTTTGGCAAGCTGGTGATATGAGAGACTTAGTCACAGGCATGGGAAATCGAAGTTGACCACGCCACAACATGTTCATTTACCCAGTGACACAGTTGAACCATAATGACATACCTCAGGAAGAGCAACAATACAGTGAGAAGTTATCCAAAACCACAAAACAATGCAATGGCAGGGTGGATGCAGCGTCGGAAAGAGATAAAGACGGGAGACACAGAGAGGAAGAGAAGGAGAGAAATTGCGTATGATGATTACGCTCATTGTCAGAATAACTATGTAGCAGCAACTGAGGTCAGTCTGGTCTATTCTTCCACTCAGCACTGAGAGAAATTCACAGCTCAGTAAAGTAAAGCCACACAGAGACAGAAGGCAGAGGAGAGAATGTGTCATGGCTGCCTTCATGGAAATAAATTAACACTGGAGAAAATGAGACAAAATCCTATAAACACCACGGCTGGCAAGAGTAGAAAGACACCATGGGATTCCCAGTGACCAACACACCCCAGAACACACACTCACAGGCTTTGATACTCTAGCTATAAAACCACTGCAAGTTGTCAATCTAAAAAGCAGAAGAAATCCATCTGGGTGAGTAATTGAAGTGACACCATGAAACCTTCAAAACTTCTCAGGAGGATGAACCACAGGACCCGATACTCTACTGTAGGAACATCTGCAGTGAGTTTGAAGTGTACAGTGGCCTCTTCCTACACTATCAAGGCACCTCAGGTTGACCCGGGCTGTACCTGACACATTATGGCACCGAGCAACTTACGCTGCATCTGGTTTGCCTTAGCAGCCTCGGTGAAGCTACATCTAGCACACACTGATAAGCTCTGAGGAGAGTCCGGTGTGGCTGGATTTCTCTCTTTCACCCAGCTTCTCACTCCTCAATTCCCCCCCCTCCCTCCCACCTCCTTCAACTCTCTAACCACCCCATGACATTTAAGGGTGCCTGGCATCCGTTTGAAGTGGGAGAGGGGGCATTAGCTCTGGTTTCCTGCCCAAATCCCACACAAGCCAATAAAATGCATACAGGTCTGAAGCGAACCAAAGGAATTCCTGTTCACTAAACGTTAAACAAACAAGATTGGCATTGAGTCTACACTGTCCAAAGGATTGTTGCTAAATGTAGAAACAATTGTGTCTCCCAATTTTTATATTAATGCTTTTGTGTGCTGTGACTGCATATAAGCTCCTCGCACCTCGAAATTACAGTTAATTAGCTAGTCAGTGAGACGTTAATCAGAGGATAATTACCAATATATGTAAAACGGTTCACATTTGGATGTTAATGTCGCTTTGCGCTGTGAAACATTATGTAGTTAATACAGGCCTACACCTTCGAGCCTCTAATATTTCAGTAATCACTCAGGAGCAGTGAGGGCTAGGAAGGTCAGAGTCAAATCCCAGGGGCTTTTGATTTCATTTCGCTGTGGTGGAAATGGGACTTCTGCCTTTTCCTCTGGCAAATCTCACACTAAGTAGCTGCACTAGGCACTTGAGAAAGTCCCCAGAGATATTTATGTGTTGACCCTCTCCTGGTCAACACTGCTGTGTTATTTGACCTTTGTCCCTGGTATATTCTTGCTGCATTCACTGCCAGGTCAGGCAGGGTGAGGAAGTACTGCCATCTACTGGCAACCTCACAAACACCATTGCTGGTCACACAGTTGTTGCATTGAGTTGGTGCACAGAAGAAAAATGCCTCTTGGGGTTGATTATGAAGTGATTGTGATTAGATCCTATTATTCATCCAGAGAAGGCGATGTGCACCAATTATCTTGCATGACTGAGTGAAAACCCATGGTTGAGAAAAACACATTTTGAACTGTAATCACTGATGTAATCTTGTGGTAGATTTATCTGATTATTGTGCAAAACACACACACACACACACACACACACACACACACACACACACACACACACACACACACGTTGCTAATCCAGGTGCTAAATTCAAATCAAATTGACTGTGATTTCTGTCTAAGAACTTACAACACTGTTAAAGTCCCTCTTGGGTTGTTGTTTTTCTCCCGTAAAACTCATCTCTGTGTCACATATCTATGATTTTTTTTTCCCAAGAAAATAATCCCCTCCTGCCTTCAAATGGCTTGGATGTAACTTTGCACTGTTAATCCTCAGGAATGTGCAGATTTACAAGGTCCCTGCCTCTTTGTCCAGTCACACCTCCTAACTCACTGGCGTTCAAGCACACCAGCTCACCTCCAACTCTGCTGCAACACTAAAATTACTGTACAGTAGAAAAATGTTAAGTTGTAACATTGGAGTCATTCATTCAGTCATACATGATCAAGCTGAAAACCTATTCTCAAGAAGAAGAATGATACAGAAAGCCACACCCTGCAAGCTGACAGGATTGGTTTCTTGAGTTACGTATGAAAACCTGAAAGTCTGAATCTGTGCTTTGGAGACTATCTTTGGTTTCAAGATGGAAACGCTCAGCCATGGTGCTGATTGCTTATTTTATTCGTGATATGTCTTCGTGTATATAAAAAAAACATCATATGAATATATGAACAAGGTAAATCTGTCATCATTATCATTTAAAACACTATTTTCTTTTTTTTAAATTGAGGTTATTGAAATCCTCCAACACTGAGATGACAACATGGCTGATATGTAAAATCTGTGCAAGGCTCTGCTTCATACTTCACGTTATTTACAATGGAACACAATCAGATGAAGGATAAAATAAGGAGAGCATGAGTGATTGATGACTACACTTTGAGTATAATGTGGGTTTAACTACCCCAAATTAATGTGTATGGGCTAGATCTGACATGAGGCTACTTCTCAAAAGCTGCTGAGAGACATTTTAACACTCTCTGCACTGCTCAATTAAAAGGCTAATGAAAAGGCCATTAGGATTAAGTCTAAGGTGTGCTTTGGATGAGATAAATATGTTGGTGAAAGCCGCTGCATAGCCTTGCCAGCAGGCAGCGATTGAGAAAGGTCAGCATAAGGTATTAGTCATTTTCCAATCTATTCTCTGAAATATAGAGAGCATAATGGCCCGTGTCTCTGTTCAATAAAAGGTTTAATTAAAGCAAGATGAAAATGGTGATTAGAAAAATCATTGTGGAACACAATCAGGAATGAGTGGCTGGGATATATTGAATTGTGTGGCGGAAGCATAGCGCAGACTACAAAGGAAGAAAAATTCATAACAAGAGGAAGAAATCAAATGAAAAAATGAGGTGGATAATACATCAAAAGGGTTTTAAGCCTCTGATGATCCGTGGCTTTCTCTTTTCTTTTGGTAGCTGGTGTTGGGTTTACTTGTATAATAAAAAGAAATATCTTCCCACACTCTGAACAACAAATAGTTCATTTATAAACCTCCGGGCAGTTTCTGGCAGTGGGAACTGCTCTGGCATCACTTCTGTGCTGAGCGGAGAAAGCTCGTCTAGGGTGCAAAGGAAAATCAGCGAAAAAGAGAAAATTCTCAAAAAAGCCCAAAATTGAATAGTCGCTTTCCATAAATAATCCTGTAATTTCGCTCTTACATGCTGACTATTGAAATGAGCATCAGGGGGAAATGATCCATGCAAGTTAGTTATAATTTACGACATGCGCACAAATAATGTAAGACCTATTTTGCTAGTTGTACTACATACAAATTCATTTGGTCCTGGAAACATTATTAGAAATCCCTTCTAGCCACACAGCTCTCTCTCTCTTCCTCGCTCTCTCATGAACAATCTGTGCTTACACTCTAGATGGCAGTAGAAGTCTCAGAATTCTTCCTGTCGGCTACAAGAAAAACCAAACACTCTCTTAGAGTGTCTCTCAGTGAAACCCAACACTTGCAGAGAAGGATGTTTCACAAGCATTCACGTTTGAAAGACTGCCAGGCAAATCCTAAGCTCGGGCTGATTATTTGCTCCTCGATGGTTTGGAAAGTAGGCCAAGGCAGCACTGATTCTGATTTGCAATAAAGGTTTGACACAAGCAAGAGAAAATGTATCACGCTGAAGGAAAACGACAATATATACACACAGGATTTTCCATCTGATGCTATGCTTGTGGAAATCAAGAAAGGATGAGTGTATCTTGTACAACATAAAGACTCTTCATCCTCTTGCTCAACCAATTCATTTTTACGGAGCAGTGAAGAGCAGCTAAATTCTGTTTGCTTTATGATTTCAAA